AAGGAAGATAGAGACTGGATTTGAAAACTGTGTCTGGAGTTTCTGAAGCGTTTGAGGCAGCGTGAAAGGAAATAAGCGAGCTGATCGGCTTGCAGGTCAAGCTACTGTGGTGAGACGACTAGCCATAGACCATGCTGATCTTCTGAATGCTGTACGAGAGGTGGTTTGCCAGAACCAAGTGATGACTGTGAATCTCCAACCATGACCAGACAGCAAGAACAGCGTGTTAAAAGGGTGTGTCTAGATTAGAGCAGTGTGAAGGAAGGCAAAGAAGAATAAGAAATCAACACAGGACTGGTGTCGTGAACTGCTACACGCTGCGGGATTTACTAAGGCGGGGATCTGAACACCTATGGTTCGAATGGTTCGATGTTTCAAACGAAACAAAGCTAACTTCTTCCTTTTTGCCTTTTTTTTTCGTATTCTCAGGTGAGAACATCAGGTGGGTTGCCTCTATGAACTCGCATGTCAGTAGCAGGTCCTTTATGGTTCCACATAGCTTGCTCTGCACACTGTTCTCTAGAGGCCAGATGTCTTTTCGAAGTTGTGGTTAGAGTGGGCAGGTCTGCACAATGTGCTCACGTGTTTGTGGTCCTGTCTGACAGGCACACTGTGGGGGATTATGCGTGTTGTAGTTGAGCCTGCAGTGCTCTGTTCTTAGACAGAAAATTGTTGTATGGTGCTTTCTGTTCAGTCTGCTGAAGGTGTCTTGTAGATATTTATTGTTGGTTTAAAGTTAACCTAAAAAGACTATATCAGACATAATAATACGAATTTAACCTTCATGATACAAGTTACATAGCACCACATAAACATTAATAAATACATAAATAAAAAAATATAAACAAGTATTGATCTTTGGAATTCTTGCCATTATTTGCACATTTTGGGAGGGTTTTGATAAGAGCTAAAGATAACGTTGAGAGGATCGAATTCGCTGCTGCACCGGATGTATCAATAAGGCTTAGTCTCCCTGTGCAAAAAAATTTGCTACCTGCTGAAAGCATCGGCAGGAACTCTAGCTTCTGATGTTTGTTCATTTTTCATTCCTAAGCAACGCCTGGTGTGTTATTGAAGCTATCTCTTGATTTATCTCCAGTGCCTAATGTGCCTTCTTGCTCGGGTAGTATTTAGTCAGGACATACTGGGACAAATGGTCACTACCGCTTTGTAAAGTGCCAGTTTAAAAGTTAAGAATTCGCAATATTTCCTCATTTTTGTTAATCATGACTTTGGTATCCCCTGTGGAACCTCCCGGTAACGAAAGAGTTAAAGACCTTGTTTTGGCCCTTCTTGACTCTGTAATTTCAGCTGGTTCCATGTCTTGGTATTGTGATGTATATATACGTAGTGTCAGCAAATGTATGTGATTTCTTATTGTGCACGAAGTACAGTGTACTATGAACTGCACACACAGGGGAGGGGGGAGGAGGGGGTTGAGTGGCGCCACGAGAGGTTCTTGGGTCTGAGGATTTAGGGCGACGTGGCTGGTGCTGTCGCCAAGAACTGTTCAGATTATGATTTTATTTTTGCTCCTGACAAAAAAACAAAAATCTCCAAACTTACTGAGGTTTCAAACCCGGCTCTCCCCCATGAGATTCCCGCATTTGTAACCGTTTTGCCAGCCGCTTCCTTATGAAGGTAATTCTGTAACGAACAACATCGGAAGCGATTCACTTTGCTGCATATCTGTTCAACCTGCTTCGGCTTCCAAGAGCAATGTCAACAAGCCGTATGATATACAAGAGCTGTGTAGTTCTGTGATTGAAGCCACACTGCTGTCATCATTTAGAGCTGCGTTATTATTAAGTGTTCAGTTGACTGACATTGCGAACGATGTTCTTGACCATTTGCAATATCCTGCTCATCGTCAACATTCTCCTGTAACACTGCGTGTCTTTGGGTCGCCAGTTTCGGTTGTCTGTCAGACAACATCCCCCACACCTAGGACGGATAGATGCGATAGACTTCATGTTTGCAAGCCTACGGCCTGTCCAGTCAGTCATGTTTTGTGTCTGTCTTTCATCGTCTGCCTCTTTCCCTTTACTGAGCCCGGTTGTATTGTTTTTGAAAGGCTATTAGAACTGATGATATGTCCGCACCACTGCATTTTTCACCTTTTCACTGTAGTTAAGGGAGGTTCATAGTTACTAGTATGCTGGGCTACTATACATGAACCTCGTCTTTCGTGATGTGATCTCTGTATGTTATGCTAGACAATTTCCTGAAAGATTTCATTTCCATTTCTCATGTCTTCTTTTCGAGTTCAGCTGCTAAGGTCTACGTTTCACAGCCACATGTAAACGTACTAACAGCAAGTGCTCTTAGCAGTCGAAGCTTGGTTTTAAATGCAATGCTTTTGAATCCCCATAGTATTTGCGGTTTGCCAAGGACTGATGTTCTCTGGGCTGTCCTAGATATGATTCAGATCTGGTCCTAGGTCACTTAAAATCATACCTAAATATTTGAAATTATTGACGTGTTCTAATGTGTGGCCTGTGAAGTAGATTCGAGTAGTTGTGCTAGCTGGATTGTTCTCCTGCTGCAGCATGAAATTATTTCCTGTGCAACGCTTTCCGTGAAATAATAAGTAGGTGTCAGGAATACTCTCTTCTTTTCTTCCATATCACTCTATATAAATCGTCATTATCAGTTTACCAATGAATTTGTTTCATCACTCTATCTATCCATAAATATTTTTATCACTCTATCTACAATTCCTCGTTATAACTCTCTCTAAAAAACTTTATTATATGGGTATCTATGAATCGTCAATACCACACTACAAATCTGCCGCATCTCTCTATAAATCTTCCTTATCGCCTTTCTGTAACGCTTATTATAACTCTACAAATTTACACTATCACTCTTTCTTTAAATCTTCCTTATCAGTGTATCTATAAATCGCCCTTATCACTTTATAAATCTTTCTTTTCAATCTATTTGTGAATATTATTATCACTCTATAAATTTGCACTATCATTATCTATACATCTTTTAATAAAATATATATAAATCTTTCTGTTAACTCTATAAATCTTCCTTATCAGTCTATCTATTAGTCGCCATTGTCACCCTATCAATCTTCCATTTCATAATTACTGTTAATCTTATCATTAACCAGTCTATAAATGTTCAATACCACTATATCTATAAATCTTCCTTACCACTCTATACATTGATCTTTTTGTCGCAATATTATCAATTATAGTTCCTCCCCAAACTGACCACTGTCTCTTTGTGAGGTAATTAATGGTTCCTTTGGTCCTTAGCTTCTGTCAAAGATTTCAAAATACTTGTTTGTATTGATTGCCCAAAGAAATGTCAGAATTCGTCAGTGAATGTAATTTTTTTGAATTGACACTATATTTATTCTTTGTCTACACGTCTTGTTTTAGATGTCCACAGAAAAGGTATAAAAAATCTTTCCGAAACTTGGAGCTCATGTTGAAATAGATGAAAATATTGACACTGGAATTGATGGCCTCCACGAGCAACGTTAAACACCAGACGACAAAAAACACATTTGCATATTTGCCAACAAGACTGAACTCTGGGGCGTACGCCATTAATAAAAAGTTTGCGGTAGCAGGAGTGTAACAGACAACGAAAATTGACGAAATTAAAGTGATCATTTTGAGCAGTTTTCTATCCCTGTTTGTGATGTTTTCCATTTTTGACACTGCTTGCACCACAGAATCGTTTCGCCATTTTGTTTTCTCTTTGAGTTTTGCAATGAGGACTCCCGTGCAGACGGCCACAGTTACCAGTGATACACAAGACATGGCTACGCTGTAAATGGGTAAAGTGATGGTTTCAACAAGTACCCGATTCTCCGTAAAGACTAGAAATAGTTGAGTTCTGTTCTTTGTGTGGCTGAAGCTCCATCTCAGCTGGTTGACGTAGAACATCGGAGAGAAGACGATAGCGGTAAAAGAGAAGATGGTAGTGATAATGATTTTAGTTCGAGAGCGAGTGATGACAGACTTGACCTTCAGCGGGATTGTAACACAGAGGCATCTTTCAACTGATATAAATGCAGTGATGAGACTGGTGGTTCTGCAAAAATCAAAGCTTAAAATGGTAAACGTCACACATCAGTGGGAAAATGACAAAAAGCAAATAGTGAACGGCGCACTTCTTCTTCTTCTTCTTCTTTTGTCATACTGCTTATACCATAAACCGTCGCAGCGAATTAATGTAGATTCGTGTATTTTGCTGTGTGTGTTGCTTGTGTTAACCTCTTGAGTTAGCCCATCCACCCATCTCTTTCTTGGTCAGCCTCTTGCCTTGTAGCCTGTTGTTATCATGTAGTACGCTCTAGCTGCTGGATGATTTTGTTCCATTCTGACCAGATGACCAAACCATTTGATTCTTTGATGTTCTATGAAACCGTGTGCCTACAATTGTTCTTCATTAGTGACTCGATCTCTTCTTGTTCGTCCCACGGCATGTCTTATACCTCCCTTTCTGACCGTGTAATTTTGTATTTTATTACTGTCTTATGTCTGGCGTTTATCGGACTAGATAGTGTGTTCTGTGTCCTAACACTCCAATTTACTAAATGCTGTTCAAAAGTTACATTATGGTTTCTAAAGCAGAGCACACAGTTCTATGCAGCAGGTTTTCGAGGACTGATAAAACGATAGGACAAGTGCATCGATGTTAGTAAAAATTATGTTGGAAAAAAAAAGGAAAGTTAAAGTGTAAAAATAAACGATATTTAAGTTGTTATCATCTTTAGATTTAAAAAAAAAACTATTTATGACTAACGTATTGACTTTCCCTCATATACCTGTTAATACTATTGGTCGCCCAGACATTTCTTTTATTTCTTCTGGATTTAACCCATTTTAAGACAGAATAAAGTGAACATATTATATAAAAAGGCACTATAATAAACACACAATATTTAAAATATAAAAATATTAACTGATTGTTAAAGATAAAATGGCCGATTTGGTTAGAGGAGTACCTGTTAAAATAGACGTGTGGCCAACCTCCAGTGACATAGATCACATCCAGGGGGTTGAACAGGAAGATCAGCGTGTTGGAACAGGGGACAGAAGCCTAAACTCATCCAGAACATGGTGAGCACACATCCCAGATCAGCTACAGCCAGTCCTGACACCGCCCAGTAGAAGAAACAAACACATAAATACACATAAGTTCACAGCGCGTTGGCATGAGAACCAGTAAAGGCTAAATGTTACAGTCGAGAGAATCTGCTTTATTGCACCGGGTTTTATCCTTAATGGTTCGGTCTCTCTCAGCAGAACACCTAGCCGCCTGCTGACATCATCGACCAGAGCACGAACACCGTATGTCGGAACATTCCTAGGGCCCTGGGTAAAAATTGCACTCATGAGTTGAAGAATGCAGCCGTGAAACGAACCTACAACCTTCAGAGCTTGAGGTGAACGTCTCGACCATTTCGCCACAGAGACCTCCCGCATAAAACCAGTACCAACGCCAAAGTTGTCTAAATGAAAGTACGCTATTTTTACCTAAGTATATTTTAAGAGTCGGCTCTATGGCTAAGTCGATGCAAGCGCTTCGAAATGTCGGGGTAAATGTAAGTAAAGTAAAGATCCCTTTTTCACGCCTTTCGGCGCATCGGGCATATGGGCAGAGCGTCCCATATTTTTACAGACCATCAGCACTCTGTGGGTAATGTGGTCAGCATTACGCCGGCTGTCTTTACCTTCCCAGGACAGCCCATCCTGGTACCCATTTTAGGCTGGGTCGACCTGCGACGTCCCATACCACGACAAAAATCCACGCTGCAGTGGGTTTCGATCGCGGTATGCTGGCTTACGAGTCGGACTCGCAACGCCTTAGCCACGGACGCCGCCAAATGCCGGGGTGCCGGGCTCGACCCCAGCTGCGGGCCATGCGCCTTGTGTTGGTTTCGACAGTGGTATCAGGGGGCCGACCGTCCTGTAAGCAATGGCAAACTACTGGACGTAAACTTGTCTAGAGAAACCACACAACAGCCAGGGGCTGCTGGGATGGTGCTGCATCGTCCTGTAAAGGATACGCAACTAACCCTATATTTTAAGAGCAGTTGTACTTAAGAGTTTTAATGTTAGCTAGTTTGCAATAATCATACCTTATACATTTTCGGAGTCAACACAGGAGTTTGGCAGGGATGTATATTTTCACAATATTTGTTCAGCCTGGTCTTTGACTGGCTCGTAAAGGAAGTTACAAGAGACAGAAACAGAAAGGTTAGATTGTCTCTAACTTCGGCTTAGTGATTTGGACCAAACAGATGACATCTGTCATATCAAGCAGCTACTATGATGCTGAAAAATAGAATTAAAGACTTTCTACAATTTTCCAAAAGGTGGAACTTGAGATAAACACCAGTAGTACGAAAGTTATAGACGAATGATGAGAATACCCTGTTCAGATACAAAGAGTAATGAAGACGTCTTGAGAGAAGCTGACTCAGGAAGAGAACGGATTGTTTACATTTGACAGAGAAAATCTCCATTCTTTGGTCATGTATTGAGAAAGAGAAAACTGGAGTACATCGTGACGGTAGGAAAGTTGTAGGGGAGGAGAGGGAGAGGGAGATTGTAATAAAAGGTGCTGGACAGTTTGGAGGATTATCTGTGGCAAAGTTGACTGAAAGTGCACGAGAAAGGAGGTTGTGGATAGACAGACTACCAACGCCAGCACGGCATTGACTTTAAATATGAAAGCAATGAGAAGTAATCAGAAAACACGCAATCCAGTTATCCCAAACAGTGAAGCAATAACAGAAGTAAAGAATGTATATACCTTGGAAGTAAAGTTATTCCAGATCGGGATTCTGAAAGGGATGTAACATCACGAATAAATAAACCAAACTAAGCAGTTGCCATGCTAAACAATGTATGGAAGTCAAAGGGAGTTAGTTTGAAGACAACCTCATATTTGTTATGGACCTACTGGAAATTGTTGGGTAATGTCATCAACATCACATCGGCAGCCTCTATGACTCTATGTCATCTCCGCTGACTCGAAAACGGAGCAATCATGGGGTGACCTTCTGCAGCGATGTTGGAATCTCAGCTACCGACTAACCATGCACACTCAGTGATAATATTATATTACTCAAACAGGCATAACAGCTTTTAATAGTCGTTCTATAAAAGTGTCATGCTGGAATTAAGTTTCAGATAAAATAAAAGTATAGGACCTCTTTTCGCGCCTATAAGTCTATTGGGCATATAGGTTTGATCTATATTTTATAGACCAATCGGCACTCTGTGGGTGATGTGCCGTCTTTACTTCATAGAACTTTACCTGATACCTATTTAAGGTTGGGTCGACTTGGGAGCCGAGGTCATTTTTGAGAGAAAAAAAAATGTCCGGCTCTGTCTGGATCTGAACACACGGCAATCGGATCCACAGGCCGAGTGTCTAGCAGCTACAACACAGCGACAGCCTAGTAAAGGGTACCGATCCGGTGCTTGCGTAGATAAAATCGCCACTAGATAGTTGGTGGTAGTGACCACCTTTACTTCCCATAACAGTTATTGGTGTCACTTGTAGACTGGAACAGTTATGTTAATTGGTAACAATATTTCAACATTCATGAGGTTTCGAACTGATAGCTCACAAGTTGACGGTTGACATAGAACACAATCTTACCCAGCAAACTGACGTTGATACTGTCCTTAAAGCCTTGTCGGATGAAAATTGTAATGTTGATAATGTTCGCTCCTGTTCCAAACAAACTGGTGATCCCCGACATGAGGCAGAACACGACGACCTGGAAGATCTCTCTGAGCTCATTACTGACCGGGTCAAGGTTGGAGGCAGCTGTCGTGTTTGACCATTCTCGAACCGTAGAGGTCGCTGTCTGACGGGACATGTCTGCTGACATGAGTACATAAACCACTACAGGCGGGCTTCCATCCGTCACTGATAGCGAGGTAATTGTGCTGCCTTGGTTAGGATCTAGGGATTGATCTTACATGTCACTTAGCCCTTTGTGTCTGATTGGTAGAAGTATAAATAAGTAAGGTAGGCAGCTTTTGAACTGTTGAGTAATTAGTAAGTAGATATGTAGGGATATATTAGTAGAGAAAGAAGATTATTATGGCCTGGTGAGAATGAGGCACCTGGGTGTAACCAGAGGGTCTGGCCGGCTCACTACACTCAGAGGAAATGCAAGACGGACATATAACCAGATAGTGACCAGTACCATCAGTATTGGAACTCTGCACTGGCTGCTGAAGATGAGGACGGAGCATGGATGGGAATGCCTAGAGTGCTGTGATGTCAATTCTTGACTCAACTCAACTCAAATCATGTGGGTAGATATGTTACATGTAGGTAGTCAGTTGTAAAGGTAAGTACCTAAGTAGCAAACTAGATATGTACTTAAGTAAATCCTATGTCCCCTCATTATCCAAGTGTCAGGAAGGAACCTTAGGGTAAAAGACAGAACGAAACAGTGCCAGGGAGAATCCGTAAATAAGTGAACCAGTTTACAGTCATTATATAAACATTTGGTTAAATATGAGTGGTGCTGTGAATAAATCTGCACGGGATACTTTGATACAGTGCTACCCGCCTGAAGTGTGTCTTGATTCTGCTGTATCTGTATTTTCAATTACCGTTTTAAACCACATAATTTTACCCGTGGAAACAAAAAGTAGACAAGGCTTCAATTACCCTGCCCGTGTATTTGCCTGTTGCCAGTCTATTATTTAAACTAACCACATACATTTAATTCATGCCAGTATAACAGAAAAAAATTGTCATCACGCTCAGTGCTTGCTGTATGCGTTGGTCGATAAGACAGTTTAGTTGCTTAGTACAGATTTTAATTGCTTTAACTTTAGGAAGAAATTCTCAATTTGCATTGCTTCTTTGTGTATAATTTACAGAAACTGTGTATTAAAAGGGCGATAATTTTGTCGAACTGCTGTTTTGAAGTTTAATCATTACATTCCCTTACAATGTCTGAAAGTCACATTTAAACAGACTTCACAAAGGAAATGGTGTAGAATCCCTCAAACTATTGTATTTAGAAATATATTCGTTTTGTTTCTTCTTTGTTGCATACATCTACAGTAGCATAGCAGATCGCCTGGTGTTTTTAAGACTTTTTGGAATGAATGTTTAAGATTAGTGTTTTTAAGAATAGAACTCCTTTCTTCCGATTTCTCCCTGTAGGCTGACCCATGCTGGTTTAACCACTAATGGATTATAATATCTTTTTTTTAATGGTAAACTAAGAAGACCAACCCTAGGTACTCCGTTCAGTGTCCAGGCAAGTTGTAATTGGAGCACCCGTAACTGCCACATCAGGCTGACGATATAGCCAGTCCGTGACAAGTGGAAAGCTCAACATACGGATGTGAGCTTAAGCACTCATGTGCAGCCTAGACTGGGTATCGCATAATCCTGGGAAGTAAAGGCGGCCGGTCCAAATGACGATTAGTGTGTAAAATGTATGCATGCCTAATATGCCTAAAGGCGAGGAAACGGACGCTTCACTTCATTTTATGGAGCACTGACCATTCAGGGAGCCATGACAAACTACTTGTGTGGCAGGCTTCACTGTTAATGTCAAGGGCAGTGAGCATACTTTGGATCTTTACTCCAGTCTATGCTGGCGTGGTGGGAAATGAACAGGCAGACAAAGTGGCTGGATCTGCACCGCTGGGTGGTGAATTGATACATGACAAGTCAGATGTGGTCAGAGCCGTTTGGGAACAAATAATGAAGTCAGAAGAGAAACTAGATGATTATGGGCTGAAGAGAATGATGCACCTGGGTGTGACCAGAGGGTTTGGCCGGCACACTACACTCAGAGGGAAGGCAAGACGGACATACAACCAGACTACGACCGGCACCATTAGTATTGAAACTATGCACTGGCTGCTGAGGATCGGGACGGAGCGCTTATGGGAATGCCCTGAGTGCTGTGATGTCAATTCTTGACTCAACTCAGCTGACAAACTACTTAGTTTTAAAATGCCATGTAAAAGCAGACTTCCAAAATATGCTGGGTGCGGTCTGCAAAATCCTGCAAAAGTTGCCCAAATGATAATTTAGAAGTTAGAAACTGTTATCTGAGAAATATCACGTTAGACTGATTTAGGACATGGGTGGTCAGTTGTGTTTCCCTCACGGACAACTTTTCATTTTATAAATTCTTGGCAATCGACTTAGTAATCTGTAGACATAAACTAGCTAAGGCTGCCTAGAGAGAAAATAATAAAATATAGACCTTAGCCATGGAAATAAGTAGGCACAATTTATGAACAATTAGTAATTAAGAAGCATTTTATGCACATAGAATATTGCGCGCGCGCACACAACACACACACACAACCAAATTATACTTTTCAATAGACAATTAAGTTGCTTCCAGACACTTGATACTTGGCGTGGCTTTCTTTGGGGGAGAGAAACGTCACGTTCAACCGTCATTCCCGAAAGGGGAGTGCCAGAGACCGTATATCTGCCGAAACGGCATATATCTCGCCTTTTAGGCCCGTTACAGATACATCTATTCTACACACACTAAACCCAAACATCTACATAGCACACAACAATCTTTAATGCAAAGAACATTATAACAGAACGCAGTTAACCTTAGAACTCCTGGGTACCCCTTGTCCACAACGAAGGGCATAAGGGCTTTACAAGTCACCTCTCACTCCTATCACGTCCCCATGGATAATACTGGATTCAAACCCACGATGTTTTCCTACAGCTCTTACCTCCGCCACTGAACTAAACACCAGAATCGAGAGGTGTCTGACGGGTGCCAGGTAAAGTGAGCGAGAACAGATCAAATTACAATTACCAATACAAAACAGTTATGGAAAGTTCTTGAAAACTACGGTATAAATGAAACAATTTTAGATTGTGTTAGGGCTATTTATAGACAAAGTGAAAGCACCATTAGAACAATAGCTGGCCTCACAGACTGAGCCCAGTGACATCAGGAGTACACACAAAGTATCACCTTTACTTTTCATAATATTTATGGACAATATTAATAAAATGTCATAACACCAACAGATGTCGATAATACTTCAATGAGATTCTTTGCCGACGATCTGTATTTCACTGATAGTAACTGCAAGACCAAATAAACCTAATACACGACAGTTGCCTCAAGCATACATCAATCTAAAAGACAGAAGTCATGAGCATAAGTAGTCAACAGACGCATCGACACAAGATTTAGATCACAGCCTAAACAAGTGCAAGAATTTTAAATACTTGTCGTATCTTTACATTTATGGTAAAATAGACAGAGAGAGTCGAAGTAAGAAATCCAACAAAGCCAACAATGTCGCATACCAGCTTGCCCCAATTTTAAAACACCCTGCTGTCCCAGCTGAGATAAAAAGAAAAATATAAATACAATCTTTTATACCGATTAGGTATCAATTTGGACATTAACAAAAGAACACGAGAGAAGACTAACCACCTGTGAAATGAGATGTTTTGAGAATGGCTGCGAATAAAACCAGAAGAGATCGTGTGAGAAAACGATGTGATTACAAGAAAACTATTGGAAACATACTAAAGTTTATTGAGAAGCAAAGAATGAAATGGTTTGGTCACCCTAATGAGAATGAAACCACGATGTCCAACATCAAGAGCATAAACATGAACTCTCGTCAGGGGATGACCAAGGAAGACTATGGATTGAAGGAGATCACGGTACAACTTGAGACTTCATAACAAAGTTATATGAAGCGACTGAGCGCGCCCTGGTTCGGTTTGCCGATCTGATTGCGACGCCTAGCGGCACAAGCAGATTTTGACAAAAGAAGAAGAAGAATACAAAACAATCTTAGCTGTCAGACTGGGGATAATGCCTAACCAGAGCCATGTAACCAGCTACACACAAAACCTATGTCAGTTACAACAAGATTACTGATACTGTTAACGACACATCGCAATACAATCTATCGGTCACTTTAGTCTGCGCATAACAAAAATATTACAGTCTAATGGTCGAATTATGACAACGTCCGTATGGTCACCTGTCCTGGAAAATAACTCTCTGGATTACTAGCAGTTTAGTGGAGCGTTTTTGCGATACTCGTGACTTAGCAAGTGAAACACTCAGTCTGGGCATGAGTTTCCACTGCCATTTGTCCGTCTTATTGAACTCTGGTTTATGCCTAGGTCAACTAGGTGTAGAGTTGTTTCGAGAATATTATCTCTCGTTTGAACCAGAGTCAGCAAGGTTCGGTTGCAGAGAAGGTGATGTCCTCATTCCAGTCTGTTGACAAAGTAAAACGGCGAGAAACGAATCAACATCACCATAAAGATGGAGATAATGATGAGCTCTGTCTTCCCGGGGAGGGGGGGGGTGGGGGGGGGAGGATGTTCTTTAACTTGTTGCTGTTATATGTGGGAGGTAGTGTAGGTAAGCAGATATTTACTATAGGTAGTCAGATCGTTAAGTATGTAGGTTGGTAGTCAAATCGGTACATAGTCAGGTATGTTGGTAATTAGGTCAGTTTTAGTCACATAATTAGGCAGATATTAGATATGAACAAACAAGACACAACCAGTAAATTCCAAAATTTGTATCTGGTCATATGCATACAACAGTAACAATTAAGCAAAAAAAGTAAATAAGTTGAATCTTTACAACTGAAATACAAATTCAGCTACTCTCAAAAAGCAACAGCATCCGAAATATCAGAACCATGTCTTTCTGTTTCTTTTTACACAGTTCAGGACACAGGTAGTGTGTCATTGTGGCTTCAATAAATCTCAGCGCTCTGCCATTATACTACACATCAAGAATTTTAAATGCACTGGCGTTAGTAAAACTGAGTGTTTTTTTTTTTTTTAAGTGTTTGAATTCGTACTTAAAATATTTAG